CTACACGTGAAGGAACCACGGTAGAAACTCTCCAGGTCATTGGGATCGGGCCAAACTCGTGAAGTGAAAACCCGCTGAGCATCTGCGCTGCTCGGACGCTGCCGTGCATCCAATCAGACACTCTCCGATCTAATGGAAGCCAATCAGGTTCTGTCTCCTGTGGCTCTTGTCGGTGGAGTGAGGGGAGCAGATGAAAACACTTCACAGCGTTCCATTTCACAGGTGGCCACGATAATGAACGTTGGATCAGATCTTTCCACGTGTGCGAGCGCGCCCAGTGTTTCACACCGTCACGGTTCCACTCACGCTGTTCTTCACGTCCTCGGCGTGGACCGCGGCCTTCCTCTCCTCGCTCTGTTTTCTTTGCTGCATTCACCGGGTGTTTTTCCCTCCGTTCCCCTTTTCCCCACATTCTGGTTCATGTTGAGGTTTTTGATTGGCCGTACAGAGGCGGGCATCGAATCAAGCTGCTGACAGTGGACGGTTTGGTTGGCAGGGACGGGCGCGTGTAAAACAGCAGACAGCTGTTGGAACAGCTGTGATCAAAGACTTTTGGAAACGGCTGCGTTCATGTTTCACATCTCACAGCACGTGTTCATTATTCCACCCAGAACCGTAGAGTTTTCAACAACTTTGTGTCCGTTTTAAAACGACAGGTTCATCCTGAGAGTCGACTTTGTTCAGACGTGGTTAACGCTACGTGACGTCTGACGTAGGTTGAACGAGGACAGGAGTCCAATCCCATCTGATTAATCACCCAAGAGCTCTGGGTCAACTGTGACTAATCATGATTAATATATATATATATAGTGTATATAGATACATACATATATACTGTACATATATAACATATAAACATCTTTAAATCCATACATCTGTCTCCGTCTCTGTCTCTGTCTCCGTCTCTGTCTCCGTCTCCGTCTCATGCTATACTTTCAACCAATACTTCGGCCAAATCAAGTGTAATTTTATATTTACCTTATTTTCCAGACTATAAGTCACAGCAGCAAAAAAATGCATAATGAAGAAGAAAACGTGAAACTGTAGATTTTAATATCTAATTCACACCTGAGTATCAGTGACAAACACAGCCAACAGATGAACGTAAGAGCGACTTCCAGTCAATGTTGAAAGACAAACACAGCCAACAGATGAACGTAATGTTGAACAACTCTAATGTAAGAGCAGGAGCAGGTCGTCTTAAACACACGCTGTGGTTATTTTTAAACGTACCTGAGCAGCGTGACTGCCAGTCATCCCTGTGAGTAATCTGGTTGGTGCGGTGGCAGCAGCGGCAGCTACAACTGCGCTTCTCTTTCCCCTCGTCCTCAGAACACAGGAGCAGAGCGTGAGGAAGCCTCCGAGGACTAAGTCTGGCAGAGAGGGTAAATCAGCTGCACCAGCTCCTGTGCCTGGAGCATCCTGCAGTGCCTTAATCCTGTGTGAATCAGTGAAGAAAGGGCCGGGGTCGTGTCCCACCTGCGGCAGCTCTGACTGGTATTAAGTCCCAGGTGCGTCTCTGTGTCCAATCACTGCCCAGTGAAGCTGCAGGTGGGGCAGGAACAGGAGTCGGCCTGGGCGTCTGGAGCTGGAGTCAGAGAGAAAACAACAGATACAACTTATAAAACCAGATGATGCTGCGGCCGGCGGTCGGTTCATGACATCAACACCAGTTTGTTAAGAGCCACAGAGATGGAGAAGGAGAAGTCATGGTTTATGTTTTCACCCTGATCTAACCCTCACTCTCAGACCACTTCATACTCTTTTACAGGGTATTTTTATCAGCATTCATTCATTAATCTGATTAAACAAATGTGTCTTCATTAACTTTTATTCATGTCAATTCACCAAATGATCCAACAGGAAGTGCACCTGCAGCAGCAGCCTCTACACCCAGCTGCTCTTACAGAAAACTGCAAAACATTTACTGTCAAAAGAAATACTTTAAAAAAAAAAACAACTTTCCTGTAGATTAAACTAGACAATTCCTTTCAGGAGCCGAGTCTGTGAAAATTAAAAATGTATGACTTTTGAAGTTGACGTGAAACGCCACTGGAGTATGACATCACACAGTCTCTGAGGTTCACAGACACTGTTTGTCAGCCACCGTGTCACATCCTGACACTGATGCCACACGGTGCAGTCCAAGAGCTGCAGCCTGGGGTTTTGTTCTCCCACGACATGCAGTGATAACCTGTCAGCCCAGCAGCCAGGCCTCCTCACACACACACACACACACACTCACACACACACACACACACTCCTGCTCCTCCAGCAGCTCAGCTCGACACCTGGATCTGTGTCTGGTGCCTCCAGTCAAACAGTCTAAAACACTGGACTGCAGCTTTTTTCTTCTCTTACTGTACAGGGACAAAATGTCTTTGACTAAAAAGGAATAAAAATATATGAACAGTATATACTGTATAGTCACACAGTATATATATACACAAACACACACAATATATAATCAAACATGTACACATATATATATGATCACACATAATATATATGTGATCATATATATGTGATCTCATATATGATCACATATATATGTGTTCATATATATATGTGATAATATATATGTGATAATATATATATGTGTGATCATATATATATGATCACATATATATGTGTGATCATATATATATGTGATCACATGTATATGTGTGATCATATATATATATGTGACTGGTCGTTTCACTCCATCGTAAACATGTTCACACACCTCACAGGTCATTCCAAAGATTTACACGTCACCGTGTGACGTCGTGTCCCCGACAGTTGGAACCATTTATTTGTATCAGACGTCCTGCGTTCCTCGGTACATCAGCAGACTAACATCAACATTTTTCAGGCCACACGTGCAGCCTCTCCAAGCTGGAAATCACATTTACTGACAGATTGGAAAATTGCACAGGGCTGTAAAAAACCTAAACATCCCCACGGTCAATGCAGCCGTACCTGAGCCGGGGTCACGACCTCAATCAGCTCCATGTTTATCGTCAAATGACTGACCACAGGATGGCTCTCTCTGAGCTGCAGGTGAAGTGGTACGGCAAGCAGGAAGTGTCGGGCGCTGATGTGAGATTATAGAGTGAAACTGAGCAAATTCACACACAAGGGTTTGGTTTCACCAAAATAATGTTGTGACTATATTTCCAAATCTTCCTGTTGTGAATATTCTCTTTCTTTTCAAGTCAACTTCCAGACCTGAAAGCTAATTAAATGTTTGCTAAATTGTAGTGATTAATTACAAAGCAAATGTCATCAGACAAGGTAAATTAGAAACGGGCAATAAAAATTGCCACTGGGGTATTTACATCTGGGCAAGCTGCACGGAATTTCTTAATGAATTCTGTTGCATCAAATGCTAATAAAGTCTGGACATCGTTGTGCTCACTTTAGTTGTGTCTGCACGGCTCTGAACAATCACGATGACACGCCGCCGAGCCGCGGGAAAACAACTGACGTCCAACAGAACTGAACGGAATATTTAACCTGGCACATATTTAACATTAGAAAAGTCCCACAGCTAGCTTAAAACAAAACCACCACGTAAAGTATACTAAATGAAATATAATTAGCTTCTAATTTCACCAACAGGTTTGTAGCCTGAGCCTGTTTAGTTAAACTCAACCCTGATTCTCGCAGGAATTCAAGAAAAGACAACAGCTCTGAGAATCTTTTTCTGTTTTTACAGCTCTCTGCTGCCACACAGTGGAAGAGTATTTAGTATTTTAGACCAATTTTATGAAAATTGAAATTGAAACCAGATGATGTCCCACTACACACTGCTGTCCTGCAGCTCCATGGGTTGGTGGACGAGTGAGGACAAGAGCCAATCAGAGCTGCTGGCCAGAAGGCGGGAAACGTAAACAGAGATCCAATCACAGTGAACGTCAAAAGTCAAAAGACCGACCAAATTAAAAAAACTGGCACAGAGTCATTAGTTAAAATAAACATTTCATGTTTTAAACTAACTGATTTTTTTTTTATCCATCTCTCAGTTTAAAGTATTTCATTAATTGAAATTCAGCTCCATCCCAGTCAAGCAGCTACAACACCTACAAATAGAACAGAATCCGACCGGGGTAATAAAAAAACAAGTGTATCTGCTTCTGTAACAAAGGATTCCACCAAGGACAGAATGAGAGCGTTTCACAGCTTAAAAGGCAAAACCCAGCGTTTCTGGATAATGGGATTAGTTTGGTGTCGTGGTTCCACTCGGCCTCCGCTTCATCACGCCTCCATTTATAATTAACGCACCAATGGCGGTAATCTGGGTCATTCCGTCTCCCTGTGTCTTTTGATAAGAGCGTCTCCTGGGACTCTGAGCAGGTGAGCGTATCTGACTGCAGAGAGAGGGCGCTATCAGGGGGAGGGGGGGGGGGGGGGGGGGGCATGACGGAGTCAGGATTCATCTTAAGGAGGGCCTGATAACACGGGTCAGCAGATCCACACACACCTGGAGCCTGAAGCCACAAGTGTCCCGGCGGAAAATAACACTTCATGCAGGGGGCGCCGTGCACATTATCTCAGTGAGCGAGAGTGTGTTTGTGTTGTAAAGCAGTGGATGCTGACGTGGAATATAAAAGGCAGCAGAAGGCAAAAAATACAGCAGGGAAACGGGGGAGAAATGGGGGAGAAATGGGAGCCGGAGCTGGGCTTCTGTGATAAGTGGTGATAATGTTCTGGTACTTTCTATCTCTGTGACTTGGAGGTGATCTAAGGTAAGTGTAAATATATATATTTCCAGTTGTTCCAGCAGAATGCAGCGTGAAGACGGAGTCGGATGAGAGAAAATGGACGACTGAAAACGGTGATTTATATTTGGACTGTAGCCGCTGTATTTATCTTTGTCTTCATCAATAACTGAACCTACGGTCAACTCAGTGTCCAGCCTCGTTGGGACAAGGACTTTCTTGGATTAGGGGATCATCTGCGTCCTGTAACTTTAATCCTGAATCCTTTACATCAGTGATGATCAAGGCAGCGTTGTCAACAGAACCACAGCGGGTCAGGCAGCACTAGTCACTAGTCATGTGACCGACAGTAAACAAACACTCACGGGGGTGGGGGGTGGGGGGGCATTATAAAATCAGCTTTGATGAGCGATGGAAGACAAAGCCTGCATGCATAATGAAACTTATTCTGGTATTTTTAGAAATCATTAGCCTGATTATCATCTTTCCACGTCTCATTTTAGAAATGTCAGAACATTCCGTTCACTTTGTTCACTGACCTTTGTCGACCAATCAACACTTCAGCTGCAGTGATCACGCAGAGCCGCCCAGCGCTAGCTGTACCTTTAAAACAGATCACTGCCTGATTAGCTGTAGTGTTGGTCAATGAGCTGGAAATAAATATGTGTCTGAGTGCTGACATTTATTAATGGAGGAAAGATGGAAAACCAACATTTAAAGGCTGGAAAAGACGAGTGCTGGGCCAATAACCACGGCTGAGTGTCATCAGTCTTCAACCCATGATAATATTGATTTGGTATTGAATAAAGAATAAAACTATTTCTACTATGTACAACAACAACAGCAGATGTTTTTGTTAAATGCAGTTTAAACTTGTGCAGCTGTGAACTTCACCAAAGTCATCGTTGTTCACCTAAAAAAGCTGGACTGAATTTTCTCTGTTTCTTCTTCTTCTTCTTCTCCACTGCATCACAGAGAACCAACGGCTAAAGTTCACCCTCTGAGGGAAACACTCGGCTCTTTGTTGCACCAAGACAGCTCTGGTTTTGCACCGTGAGATAAGGGCGACAGGACAATGGAGGTTCTGGTTCTGAGGCTGAGCCGTCTGGATTATCAGAGTGTGTCACAGAACCACGGTCCGTGTCGAGACGGGGCACTCAAACGGGTGACTTCCTGTACTGACTGATGGCTGTTCCTGGATTAAACTTTAACCTGGTTCTGATCCTGTTCACGTGGCCATGGCGACCACAGAGGAAGTGAACTGGACAGCTGTTACACCTCGTCTGGTTCTGGTCCAGATTATCAACACACACATACTGTATATAAATGTGTTCTACAGCATCAGATAACTCTGCCCAAAAATAAACAGATCTGATCAGACAGGAAGACGTGTCCTCTGAGAATGACACAGGACATCTATCTCTAACCTTTTCTTTTTTTCTTCCGATGATCAGGAAATATGATGGAACGTAATTTGTCACTCACCGTGTGTTTATGCAGAGTGCAGTGAAAGTGAAGTGAGAAGAGACGCAGAAGCAGCAATTAAGGCTCTTTACTGTGAGACGCTGAACACAAACTGCATGGCTGCTCACCGGCTCTAAATGAAATTGGGAAAATTGTTCCCCGACTGATGGCAACATAATGATGACAGTAGGTGGCACTCTCACATTATCACATCGTAAGTGGAATTCATTCATGTGACATTTAAACTACAACACAGTGGACCAGTGTGTGTTTAGATCTACAGGACATTTGACTTGACGTCAACGCGACACGTTTGAAAAACGTTTACATGAAAAATATTCTGAGTCGCTATGAACAGAGAGGATTTTAACAGCGTTCCTGACAGAGCGGCGTCAAAAAAAAACAATCTTGTTATTCAGTC